CAGAAAGTAAGTACTACGCACGCCGGTGCGCGATTGACTCGGGGGCACGCAGGATCGATGCGATCGACCAATGAGAACACGAGACCCGTACGGGGCTAACACGATTGACCTACGCGGGCGCGTGATCATCTCGGGGAACGTAGGAAGCAGGGTCAATACACGCAAGTGTGCGATCGACCTTTGGGCACGCAGGGTCGACGCGGTTGACCCGTTAACGCACGAGGGTCGTGCGGGCTGACCAGCAGGGTTAACCCATGAGGGCACGCAGTCAATCCGCAAGAGCGGGCGACTTACCCGAAGGCGCGACATGGTCAACCCACGCGACCCACACAAGGTGGTTGACCCACACAAGATGGTCGCCCCGCACGATGTCGCCCCACGCAAAGTGGTTGGCCCACGCAAGGTGGTCGGCCCACGTGATGTCGTCACCCGGTGCGGGTGGTTGGCCCACGTGATGTTGTCGCCCCGCGCGATGTCGCTCTACGCGACGTGGTCGACCCACGCAAGGTGGTCGACCTACGTGATGTTGTCCCCCCACGCAATGTCGTCGCCCCGTGCAAAGTGGTCGACCCACGTGATGTTGTCGCCCCACACGATGTCGCCCCACGCGATGTCGCCCCGCGCAAAGTGGTCGACCCGCGCAAGGTGGTCAGCCCACGTGATGTCGTCAGCCTGTGCAATGCCTTCGCCCCGCATGATNGTCGCCCCAAGCGACGTGGTCGACCAATGCAAGGTGGTCGGCCCACATGATGTCGTCGCCCCGCGCGATGTCTTTGCCCCGCACGATGTCGCCCCACGCGACTTGGTCGACCCATGCAAGGTGGTTGGCCCACGAGATGTCGTCGCCCCGCGCGATGTGGTCAACCCACGCAAGGTGGTCGCCCCACGCATTGTCGTCGCCCCGCGCGATGTGGTCTACCCACTCAAGGTGGTCACCCCGCGCGGTGTCTTATCCCCGTGCGTTGTCGTTGCCCAACGCAATGTGGTCGACCCACGCAAGGTGATCGCCCCACGCGATGTCATCGACCCACACAAGGTGGTTGATCGGCGCAACATGGACGACCCACGGAAGGTTGTCGCCGCACGCAATGTCATCGACCCATGCAAGGTGGTCGCCCCACGCGATGTCAACGACACCAGAGGAGGGATGCGCGTCAACCCGTGATGGGGGATCGGCTACCGCATGGGTCGGCTGAAACCCAGCTCGAAGTGGAGAGGAATAGCTCTAACTCCGGGTATGCGCCACCCGATCTCGGTTTGAGGGCCCATCGTCATGCATCCGCCTGGACCTAGCCTGTTTCTTTTGCACATCACCGATTGTTGGATGATCATATCTGAAAACAACAAGTATAGCAGGTCAATACAAGTATACTGCACAATCATAACAACGAATAATGACACGACATCAAGAGTCGACGCGGTCGACACACACGACCCGCTAGCCGAGGGTCGACAAAGTCGACACGCACCCATACGATCCATTGAGACATTTAATCAAACACATTAACTTCAAGTGTATATTAAAGGGTAGAAGCATATCAAACAACTTAGACCCTAGAGCCGCCAAAAGCAAAGCCCTGCTGCGACCTTATGTAGGAATATGATGCTGCCCGCTGGGATTTATGCAGCTGAACTTGTCCTTTTTGTAGGAATAAATAGTAAAAGGAAAATGCGTTTTGAATTATATGTTATATGAGTATATAACGTGAGGTTTGCTTGCATTTATTTGGGGCTGAGCCGGTCAGGGGTGAGTATGACCTGAAATCGAATAGACTTATAAAAAATCGAAATCACCCTTATATATAATTTCGGAATGCACTGAGCTTAAGTGGCAGGCTTGTATGTTTCGTAAATCGTAATTTTATTTGGCATAAATTTATGGTATTGACAAATGTACTCGTTTAGTTTTGACTATTAGGCTTGGGAATCACCATAAACTACTTTAGCTTTCTTTTTTTCTTAAGTTACAATTTTATACGTGTATACGTGAGAAAAAATGTAATAAATAAGAAAACAAATATTTATTACATTATTTTATACTCTTACATTTTTTTATTACAATATTATACTCTTACATCTTTTTATTTATTTATTACAATAAGAAAATAATCATAAATTTAACTTATCGACATAGGTCTTTTAGAATATCGGATTGATAGGACTATACTGTAAAAGCGAAAGCTTTAAGTATAAGTGGGAGATTGTTAGTGTTATATACTGAAAGCTTGACTTTGCATGTTATTACACCTTTGCCCTTTGTGAATGAGAATCATGTTATATTAAAAAAGTTCTACGTTCTGTTGTTTTGCACTTAGATAGAGTGGGTCGCCATCGGGTGAACCGAATGAGAAATGATTGAATGTGGAGAAATAATTAATTGTGTTGAATTTATTTTACTTAGCTAATTTCGATTGCTAGAGATAGGGGATGATTACTCTTGTTTAATTCGTGATTGTTGGGCATTAATTTGTTCATTCTTGTGCGAGTTGAATTGATTAGTAATTGATGAATTCTTGCTTGATTTATTGATAATTTGATATAACCTAAGAATGACACTTAAGTTAATTTATTGATATAATCGAAGAGTGACACTTCGATTTTGCGATTGGAAATGATTGAATGTTGATTTGTCGAGTTAAGGTTTGTTGATTCTACATAATTAGTTGATTAAACGCCTTCTAATTTAACTAGCGACTTTTAGAACCGAGAGGGGAGGAGTCGTAGAACTAGGCTCATACGAGATAGACATGTTCGGAGACGTATTGTCTATAGGTTTCGGTTGAAGTACACACTTGTCGATGTCCCTTCCCATGTTACGAAGAGTTATTGAGATTGGATTATTGGCCGGTGTTGTATGCTCGAACTTGCTCGTCTATGTTCAATCTCATGTTACGAAGAGTTATTGGGAGCAAACCCGCTAGATGTTTAAGCGAGAGTATCAATATTGAACCGAACGATTAATTGCTCGGGTTTACGTTTCGAACTTGAATTAATTATCCCCGATTCCTTAGCTTCTTTATCTTTGTGTCATTTATATTTTTAGGTAGATTATAGTTTTATGTTATTTCTTAATTGATAATTTTCCAACCCTATCGTGATTAGAATGTTTAGGATTTATTTCCGTTTTACATGTTATCAACACCACTTCTAAATTCCGAAACCGCCTTCCTCGAGAGATCGACCCGGGGAACGAATCATTCGATTCGGTACTCGGTAATTTAAAAACAATTTGTGCTACAACACTAGATGGACATGAACACCCCATCCGAACGATTGTAGTGTCAACTGTACAGTTTGTCTTGACTGATTAATTGCACTAGTACATTTATGTATTGAACAGGATCCCAGAGAGGAGAAGTTCATTTTATACTGATCGTCGTAAATGAACTAGGTCTCGGTTAAATACTGCGTTCTCTTAACCCATAAGATATTAAGCATGCAGATATATATAATATATATTACTTTGATTCACTTGGGTGAGGTTCAGTTCACTGAATCAATATTCCTACTGTTTTGGGTAATATTATTATATGTAGGATGTGCTGTTAGGATATTTACGGTCACCATGTGTGTTAGTTTGATGATGTCCCCGGAGTGAGTTCATGAAAGATTGTTATGCTAAACCCTGCAGGTAGATTAAGTTCCTGCATAATAAGAATGTGATGAACGAGCGCTAGCTTCGGTGAAATAATAATACATAAATTAATTCTCGATTGTCAGTAATCGAATTAATTAATAGACATTATATCTTAAACTTGGGGAGATAAATCGAGTAATTATTATTGGAGTCTCAATGTAATTTGGGCTAGGAAAATGGAGTACAATAATATAATGTTGGTGGTCTATTAATATTATTTAATTAATTAGATGAGTGGGCTTGGCCCACAGTTAGTCTAATTAATTAAGAAGTCCTATTCCTAATCTCCTAAGGGTCCCTACTGTAGCTCGATATATACATCATTAAGCTCATGAGAAGTGAAGGCATCTGTCATTATTCATAATACACGCCCCATGCCACTCTCTCTCTAGATCTCATTCGAGCTTCATCTTCTTCTTGTTGCTCCACTGGTACAAGTTGAAGAAGGGTGTATTGAGTAATACAGTAGAAGATTTGTAGGTAAACCGAGTCGAAATATATTTTATCTTACAGAACTAACCGAAGGTCCGATCAAGTGCACAGCATACCCAGACGACCATCTCGATGTTAGCTTTCCATCGCCGCCACACGCGCCCGCACGCGCCGTCGGAAGCTCCCAGGCTGCAAGATCCGTTTGCACCCGTTTGATCCGTTTTTCAATCCGATCTTGTTCGTGCAATCCCTAGACGTGATTTGCGGTCATCCGTTCGTGGCCAACCAGATCTACATAAAATTTTAAGTCGTAAGTTCTCTACGTCAAACCTTTAGATCCATTGCGCATAGGTTTACGTTTGCTATTGAATTCGTGACTTGTACATAACGAGATCCTCATATATCCCAACAAGTGGTATCAATTGCATTTTGCCTATGAAGAGCAATCAGATGTATTACGCCTGCGATGGGTGATGCTTGTGAAGGGCAACCAGATGAGATCAGTTTTACATGTTTCATGCTTAAAATATGATACCTATTTTTATACTGAATAATCGTATAGTATGGTTCCCACGGTCAGCTAGTTGTTTTGCTCACCTCCCACTTGTCGGCGAACACGAGAGGACAATGGTGGTCAATTTATGTTAAATACTTTTTATGCTTCCGCAAAGACTCTTAAGATTCATGCTTTTCAGTTGTCTTTAGAACTTGTATTGGAAACTCGATTTGAGACCTCTATTCAATTGTTTTCGTAACGTTTAAGTTATGCATGAATTAGTTTTCAATAGTTCAAAAAGAAAAAAGAAGTTTTCAGCAAAGATAAGACAGTGTTTTATGTAAGTACTCTAAAAAAAGCTAACAGTTTTAAAATATTTTTGAAAAGTTCGAAATTACTTAAGAAAATTCAGTAGTTTTCAAAATATAAGTAGAAGGTGCTTACAAGTCAACCCGTCACACGATCTAAAAAAACACACTTCATTCACATGAAACAACAAATTCAAGTTTTGAGTCCATTACGGATTAGTAAAAAAAACAGGGTGTTGGAGATCCATGATGATGTATTACACTGTCATTTTTTATGATACACATTCGTTGCAGTCTAAAATATAGTATCAAAATGGTCACATTTATAAACACTAGAGTAGATTCTATCGAGGCAAGAAACCATGGCTGTACATAGCAATTTCGAAGGCTTGCATTCGTTCACCGCAAGCCAAGCCATTTCGATCATACGACAAGATCTTGTTTATGTTGAGATCCACACATGTCTTGATAAGCTCTTCCCCAACACGTTTAGCTGCCTCCTATAATTTAAAAGAACCAAAAAAAAAAAATGGAACTTTCTTTTAGAGTGCAATTCTATTGTTTAGGAGGGGAAACATTTGTTTTAAAAGATATACAAATGCTTTTGTAATATCCTAAATCTGAGGCTAGTTTTCGTAATCGTCCCTTTTCAATTTCCGCAAAACAGGAGGCACTAAACATCTAAAAATCTTGGTTTGGATTATAATCGTACATAAAATACTAAAAACGGAAAGGAAAAACTCACAGCAGTAGTGCAAGCTGGATCATTTTGCATGGATTTCTGAAGAGTGCTTCCATAGAACAAGCACTTTTTCTTTTGGTCATCTACTAACATAGCATACAACTGCTTTTTTGAGCAAAACACCGAAAGCCTCGGCCTAATGGCTGTCCCGTTAAACTGGTCATAAATTATAACGATATCAATATCTCAAATCACATACACAAGTACACATACTCAGACCCTTTACTTCCCATTCAAAATTATAATAAATAAATAAATAATGAAATGTAGCTGAATAACATATACTTATAAAGACACACTGCCTTTTTGTTCACCTTTTCTCTTAATCTTCGATTGCGAATCTTAGGACTCTCTGTCCTCTGATGGGCTCTAGCCTGAATCACCAATGGCTTCACTAACACATCTAAAAGAATTTTTCAATATAAGAATTTCTTCTTGCCCGCAGAGTGTATAAATAAAATCAAGAAGAGAACAATGCTCCAGGAAAGTTCACATGAATGATTTGTATTACTCACTTGCAGATGACATGGGAGATATACTTGAGCGATTTAGACCAGTCCCAAAGATCCCACAAGCCTGGAGCTTTAATCCTAAAAAACAAGAGCCGATCGCCATGAATTAGCACCCGCTTGTCTTCGACCTGGAAATTTAATGTCAGTGACACCAAAAGCAGCAAAGAAATCATGTTCGGAAACTCATTGAGACATTTAATCAAACAAATTAACTTCAAGTGTATATTAAGGGGTAGAAGCATATCAAACAACGTAGACCCTAGAGCCGCCAAAAGCAAAGCCCTGCTGCGACCTTATGTAGGAATATGATGCTGCCCGCTGGGATTTATGCAGTTGAACTTGCCCTTTGCGTAGGAATAAATAGTAAAAGGAAAATGAGTTTTGAATAATATGTTATATGAGTATATCACGTGAGGTTTGCTTGCATTTATTTGGGGTTGAGCCGGTCAGGGGTGAGTATGACCTGAAATCGAACAAATCTAATTTAAACAAAACTCATTTTATTATAAAATTAATTTAAAAAATATCAAATAACAATATAATTAATTTTATAAAAACAGTACAAATCTAATTAATCAATACACCATAAATTAATCAATTTAATGTGTTTTTTATATAGATTTTTGAATAAAAAATGAAAATTTAGTATTACATAAAATAAATTATAAGAAATATTATAAAAGATTATTTCTCGATTTAAATAGATTATATAAGGAACCGAATGTTATTATGTTTTTTAAAATAATAAATATAAAGGAATTATCAAAATTAAATATAATATTTTTCGTTTCAAAAACTTATAATAATATATTTATGCATAAATTAGTATTTTAAAATATTAAATTATATAACATTTGTTAGAATATCACTTGTGAGTTGTCCCACATCGTTCGTACATGAAAAATAAACACACCTTATAAGTCTAATGGATTACTTCTTCTTCCACAATTGGTTTTGGGATGGAACCCCATATGAGCTTTATCTGGGTTTTTCCCATTTTCCCATGTTGTGCTTCATGATAGTGGTTCCGCACCCATTTTTCCCTCAGTTTTTGTTATAGTATCAGAGCGGTTCTATTGGTGACCGTGTGATGACGTACCCGTCACCCCCCCAGTTGGGTATGGACTTTCGAATGACTCACAAGTGAGGGGACGTGTTAGAATATCACTTATAAGTTGCCCCACATCGTTCTTACATGGAAAATAGACTCACCTTATAAGTCTAATGGATTATTCCTCATTCCGCCAATTGGTTTTAGGATGAAACCCCATTTGGGCTTTATCTGGGTTTCTCCTGTTTTGTTTTCCCATGGTGCGATGACAGTGGACCCGCACCCATTTTTCCCCCAGTTTTTGTCAACATTAAAATACTTGAAAATTTCATAAACGAGAGACACCGACTCTATAAATATAAAATACAATCATAATAAGATAAAACTTCTTTTGGTTCAAAAACATTCGAATCAAATATACAAAGTTGTAAATAATACTTATTTTAGACATATATAATTTTAAAAATATCATTTCTGACAAATTTAGTGTAAAAAATACGGACGCCATTTTGAATGAATTATCACTCTATTAACTATTATTTATGTTGTATATTTATTATACATAATTTTACAATAAAAATATAAATTATTTTAATTTTTTTATTGTATAATGTTAATATATTTAAGCACTTGTGTAATACACGGGTATTGTACTATAATGACACAACAAACTGAAAGGTACCACATAAGAATACAATACAGAACTACAGTTCAGTTCGATTTTGTGGAAGGAAGAAAATTTGGAAAAATGAAAAAATAACCTTGCCTCTGATGCAGATTTCCATTTCCTTTGTTAAATGGTTCTGGGAATTCAAACTCAATAGCATTTCCAAATTCCAATCTCCATCACCTATCTACTGATTATTTTCCCATTCATTATAGCTTAATAAACATAAATAAATAATTATATGTAAAATTATAACTAAACATGCATGAAAATCACTTTAAAATGCACGTACGTAAAAATGACGCATGTCACTCTTCTGGCTGTTGGATCTCCTCGGACGTCCTTGCCTGAGATCGGGTTCTTCAGCCACCCTAAGTTTTCGAGTGTCATTCATAAGTTTTCACTTATATTCAATCTCGTGTGACTTGATTACTAGATCATTTTGACTTATATTCGACATGTAACTGATTTCTCCTAATTGATCCTATGCAGGTTACTCATAGTAGAGAGTAAAATAAACAACATAACTTCACTAGAACCACTCATATAAACAAACCAATATTCCGAAACATGGACTAGACACAAATACCCTTTTTTACAGACCCATATTTGCAAGATGCAAAGTAATGCAGATTTAAATAACATTCAAGAAATGATTTTTCGAGGGTCGTTCATAAGTTTTCACTTATATGAATATTTGATAAAAACTAGAAAAAACTAGGGGAAAACAGGTGTGGTCCCACTAACATGAAGCGCACCATAAGCGGGGAAAGCTCATATGAAGTTCAAATAAGGTTCCATCCCAAAACCAATTGGTGGAAGGAGGAGTAGCTCATTAGTTATTTTACATGTATGAACGGTGTAGGACAACTCACAAGTGATATTCTAACAATATCAATCTCGTGTGACTTGATTACTAGATCATTTTCCACATATTAGCCCATTGCTAATTTTACTAAAGAACACAACACAAATGTCTTGCATACAAACTAAACAACACAGATTTAGCTAACATAAACAAAAAAATAAAAATAAAAGCACCAAATCGAAAACAAGAAGACAGGAAATAAATTCTCTAAACAAAAAAAAAAAATGTCTCTTTTGTTCTTTCTACTTTTCTGGTCACTTATTCGGTAACTAAAACATCAGTATTTAGCATAATGAAACACAGTACCATATGCTTTAACAGATCTACATGATCCTAAAATAACAAACAGAATCCCACAAAAACTCAGAACCCACGAAAATCACAAAACCAGGATGTCACTCGTGATTTCATCAACACCCGCCCAAATTACAAGCACGGATAATTTAGAATGCATGTCAGAAACATAAAAAAGACTTCAAACATTTACCTACAAACTTCTGTTTGGTGGAGTTCCTCTTGGAGTGAGACTGTGAGATAGACTTGTCAAAACGGTCCGGCCCGCCATCCTGGCGGACCTCTAAATGGCCAGCCCGGCCCACCCCCGCCATGGGCCGCGGGCTAGGCGGGCTTGCCCGCCAAATTTCAAAAAATAAAAAATAAAAAAAAAAATGCTGCAGGATGCATAGTTTTAAATGGCGAATGGCGAGGCGAGGCGATTCGCCATGGCGAGGCCTCGGCAACACAAGCCATCAAAGCTTGAAAAAATATGTATATAGATAGTAAGATCATATATTTAAGTTTAAGTGCCAAAAATAACCTTAAATATACTCAACGAAAATAATATAAATTAAATTTGGTTGTAATTACTAAAAGCATCTAAAACTTAAATGTGAATACTAGTAACATTACAAAAAAATATTGAATTTACACTGTGTAGTAACATAAAATAGAAAAATGTTAAAGAGGGTAAATAAAAAGTGTAAAGTAAAAGTAAATGAAATAAAGATGTTGCACCCTTTCACCTTTGACCATTGACCATCCTAGTAAACATATATAATACTAGTAAACATAAATAAAAGTAAAAAATGAAGAGGGAAGAAAAAGAGGGAAGGTAGAACAGGAAAACAGAGAAAAGGGAGAAGGAAAAGAAAGGAAAAAACATGCATCACCGACCATCTCGGCGGCGAGATGGTAGCCAGAGTTCAGAGGAGGCCGGAAATGGATGGGTCAGCCGTGGGTTTCTACAATTTTCAAATATGAGATGTTCTTTCGCAGAAACCCTAGTTTGGGGAGAAGCCATTTAGGGATTTTTCACCTTCAGCTTTCGTATTCTCAATTTTAGTAGTTTTCAGTTTTTGGGTCTGGGAGATGAAGTGAAGAAAGAGCCTTTTAATTTTATTTTATTTTTAAAAAAAAATGGACTGCGCCTTTAATTTCTCTGAAAGGTGCCGAGGCGCGCCTCACAGGCGCCTCTCGCCACGTGAAAAGGCGAGCTGAGGCGACCTGAAGCGAGCGCCTCACGAACAGGGTCGCCTCAAACAGTGGCGAGGCGATGTAGCCCTCGCCTCGGTCGCCTCGCCTCGAGGCGTCACCCTTTTAAACTATGGCAGGATGCCAGGATTGAATCAATGACATACAACATAAATAAGCCAAATCAATTAAAAAAACCACCTGATGCTATAAAATATATATATATATATATATATACACACAATACAATTTAATAAACCAAGTCCTTTCCTTTCATTCAAATCAAATCCAAACAAATAAAAGGCAATGTCATACAAACATTAAATTCACAACATTAACTCAATTCACAATCATTCACAAATACACCCCATAGAAAAGATAGAACAAAGAAATAAGAACCAAAAAGGTTCAGCCATCATTACCCTTTACCGAAATGGAGTTGCTTTGTCGTTGCCGGCGCCGCTCGGAGACCCTGCTGCTGCGGCACTGCCCCTTGCCGCTAGACACTGCTGCTGCCCCTTGAAGGTTCGCCGCTCGCCAGTCGCCAAACGAGTCGAGGTCCCACCGCTCGAAGGTCGCCGACTCGCCGCACGCCGGGGTTGAGAGAGACGAATAAGAGATGTCGAGATGAGACTTGAGAGTGAGAGCCTAGGGATTACGGTTTGTGAATTGTGAATGAAATTGGATCCCGTCTCTCTGTTCAATTCTCTTAATCTCTTTTTATTTGTTTTAAGTTTTTAACTTGTTTTTATTTTTTTAATTTTAAGACNGTCCACGCGGGCCAGCCCGTTACCCGCCTGTTTGGCGGGGCGGGGGACCGGCCCGCAGACCCAGGTCCGTTTTGCAAGTCTACTGTGAGAGGCTTCAAGAGAACGATGAAACCCTAACAGTACACCCCAAATAGCACTCCGTTAGGCTTGATTGCTTTCAATCAAATATTTCATTTTCCTGCCCGTTCTGAAGAAGAAATGAAAGCCCAAGTCCATTTGAAATATAAAGTCTAAGCCCACGCATATTTGGATAAAAGAATACTCCTTATATTTTTTTTAATAATTTAGGCCTAATTGTCGGTAATATTACGACTTTACAATTTTAGCAATTTTCACCAAATTTTTGAAATTTAGCAACTATATACACCACTTTAAGTATTGTTGGCAAGTCGAATCAAATGACTCAATTTCAAGCTTATTTTATTACTCATCTTATTCCATTTTTATCCAATCTTTAAATGTAATTTTAAAAGTCTTTTATCGTTCAGTTTTTAAGTATCCAAGTTCAACCCATCCGAACTATAAGCCCACAAAGTCTACCTAATATCTACACGTAGGATAGTTCAAATGACAAAAATTCCCAATTGAAATTTGAAATTCTATCCCCTGGGGCGTGAGGTCAAGTGGCGATCCCATTGATCGTAAGATCATGTGGGGTGTTGGGATGGGGCACTCTGCACTCCATGGGAGGATTAGAAGGTGTGTAGGGTATCTTTACCCCGCGTAGCAACGCCTTGGTGATCATCGTTGAGGTCCCAACCTACAACGTGAAGATGGTGTACATTGATACTGGCAGCTCAGTCGACATTATTTTCTACTGTGTCTAAGACAGATGGACATAGACGTGAAGATCGAGCCAGTCCATACAACCCTTTATGGGTTTAATGGTAATATCACGCTGATAGGCGACATGTGCCTACCTATGGTGTTGGAAAGGTGGCTCCTGCGGAAGTCAAGATGGTTGAACTATCTTGCCGCTAGCCGCCGTTGTCGGTGACCACCATTAGTCATCGTTCGTCGTTCGTGTACCATTTGTGAATTTTATAAAGTTATATATCATTTTAAAGGTCTCGACTTGATCTAATCAACAACATGTTTAATTTCATCATACAATGCCTCAAACTTTGATGAATCGTTATTAGAGTTTCAAAAAAATCAAAGAATTACGCAGTAAATTATTTTGGAATGTCACCGAAGATCCGACTGTTTGATATTTGTTAAACTTATATTTGCAAATAGTTGTTTTCATAAGGAATCCAACGGTATCTCTCGATCGTCGATCGGATCTTTAAATAGTCATAAAAATGCAAGTGAAGTTTTCATATTTCTGGCAGTGCGCTGTTCCGGGACGAATACTCCAACTGATCTTTTCAGCAACTTTGTTGTCCACATTTGATGGTTGAATTCTCATTTTGTTCCTCTTTCCATGAGAAACAATATGTCTTAATCAATTTGATGTTTTGAAGTCATATCAGCCTTCAATTCGAAATGATATTTTCTGCAAATTATTTCATATATTTTTTTAAAAAAATTTATATCATTTTCTGGTTGGTACAAGAACTAGTTAAGCTTATTTGGGTGCCAAAAGAGAAAATAAGAAGTAAAATTTTTTCCCACTAATCTTTAAGTATGGCCAATTTAGTAATTTAAGTAATGAATTCTTTTAAAATGATTTATTTAAGGGAGTAAAAGGACAAGTGTTATAATTCCAATGAGTGTATATTATCATTTTTGTGCGAGACAAGTATATGGTTACCCAATGGTAGAATGACATTAGTATGAAAGCATGATAAATAGTCCTAAATACCAATATTTTGTTTTAACATAATATTAAATACATGAGTATCTTTTTCAGGGGCAGTGCCATCCGGTCACGGCCCCAGGCCTTGGGCTTTGCGTGGTCCATAAACACATAAACGTCATGTTCAATCCATTATATATTGTTTCCTAAAGTGTAAAACCATAAATTTGGTTGGACCTTCGTTTCAAACTTAGAATAACTTTTCTTGGCTGTGGATGAAAGTCACTTGATTTCTTACATCAGGAAAAAGGGACAAGGCCCCTGTTGTCGCTTGTTTGAGACAAAAGACAATGTCTGCATAAGTTTCGTCTATGCCAGCATTTCATTTAATTAAATATATATTTTTTGTTTAGTGAATCAAGATTTATCTAATTGAGATGTAAAAAGAAACAATATAATTCTTCTTCTTTTTTTTTATCGCATTTCACTTTACTAACACAATTAAAAAATTAAAATAAACATTATCATATATTTTTCTAGGTGAAAAAACACTATTCGCCCACTTATATATTTCTAACTATTAGTGATTATTAATTAATATTTTATTAATTTATATTATATAAGTGTTATTCAATATTAGTTCACAATTTCCAACTTGTTTCACTTTTTCCAAGAACTTTTGTTTTTTTTCATTTTAATCTCTTCAGTTGAACAAATTTAAAAAATAATAATTATACCATCCTCAGTTAAACAAATTTTAAAACGAAAATTATACCAATGGCAACCTAAGGTGGGGAGCCCAAACAATAGAGATTTAACAATGAATAAGATTTTATTTGAAAAAAATAATAATAATGTTTTAGATTGAGAAAGCAAACAAGACAGTAATATAATTATTACTGTTGTTATAATATACAAAAATAAAATATTAATTAATAATGATTAATAATTAGAAATATATGAGTGAAGGTATTCCATCGTTTGAGCACTAAAAGACTAATAAGTTAGGTTGACTTCTAATTTAATAGATGTACTTTTGGTTAGAAGTTTCAAAAGACAAACTCATACCGAGTATGAGTAATATGTACTAGGAGGAGTGACCTATTTGCCGCAAATACTTAGGTGTGCCCTGGCACACCTAGGTGTGCCAGGGCACGTGTAAATGTACTCTCTTTTAAAATCGCGTGAGGTAAGGTAATAAGGTATGCAAGTTTTTTTTTTTTTTTATTTAAAAAAGACAAGTGTCCAATATATATTGGATAATAAATTTTACATATCATATTATATAAATTAAATTATTATTCACATTTTATATTAAAAAATAAAAATAAAAATACCAAAATTCATAATTTTTCAATCTCTACAAATAGAGACCACATTTGATAAGTTTTGGAACACAATTAATTTATCATTTTTTTATAATTAAATTATCTTTTTGGAAGGTGATGACACAAATATATAATAAGATGAACATGTTACATACTAAGATGCGCATGTTATATAGTAAAATGAACATGTTATAGAATAAGATGAAAATGTTATAATTTTACAGATGGAATTTAGATGAACATTTTATACAATAAGATGATCATGTTACATAATAAGATGAACATGTTATAGAATAAGATGAACATGTTACATATTTACACAATAAGATGAACATATGAACATGTTATAAAATAAGATGAACATATGAACATGTCATATAGTAAGATGAACATATGAACATTGGAACACAATTAATTTATCATTTTTTACAATTAATTTATCTTATTGGAAGATTATGACGCAAATATATAATTAGATAAATATGTTACATAGTAAGATTAACATGTTATAGAGTAAGATGAACATGTCATAGAATAAGATGAAAATGTTACATTTTTCAGAGATGAAATTTAGATGAGCATGTTACATAATAAAATGAACATGTTATAGAATAAAATGAACATGTTTAGATTCCATATCTACATCACGGGCTCTCACATTATTTTCTCCAATTTTCACTTCATATATAAAATTCTGGTCAATTTCTTGCTCGACTTTCACTCGTTTAATGCAAGCATCTCCGCCCTGAAATAATAAACCATAATCTACAGATAAGAACTCAAATTTATGCAATAGTCATACTATAGGGAATGAAAGTGAAAAACTAGTAGAATGTAAAAGAAATTCCATAAATTAGTCTTTCGATCGAATATCCTCCACCTTCACAAACCAAAATCCTCTCTAATAAGATGAAAATGTTACATTTTTCACATATGAAATTTAGATGAACATGTTATAAAATAAGATGAACATGTTACAATATAAAATGAACATGTTATAGGATAAGATGAACATGTTACATAATAAAATGAACATGTTATAGAATAAGATGAACATGTTACATAATAAAATAAGCATTTTATAGAATAAGATGAACATGTTTAGATTCCATATCTACATCACGGGCTCTCACATTATTTTCTCCAATTTCCACTTCATACACAAAATTCTGGTCAATTTCTTGCTCGACTTTCACTCGTTTAATGCAAGCACCCCCGCCTTGAAATAATAAACCATAATCTACATATAAGAACTCAAATTTATGCAATAGTCATACTATAGGGAATGAAAGTGAAAAACTAGTAGAATGTAAAAGAAATTTCATAAATTAGTCTTTCGATCAAATATCCTCCACCTTCACAAACCAAAATCCTCTCTAATAAGATGAAAATGTTACATATTCACAGATGAAAATTAGATGAACATGTTATAGAATAAAATGAACATGTTACATAATAAAATGAACATGTTATAGAATAAGATGAACATGTTACATAATAAAATGAACATGTTATAGAATAAAATGAACATGTTACACACACAATAAGGTGAACATGTTACCAAAAAACGAAAATTAGTTGTGTTCAAAACCTATCAAATGTGGTATCTATTTATAGATAATGAAAAATTATGAATTTTGGTATTTTTATTTTATTTTTTTAATATAAATAATTAATGATATTTTAATTTATGTAATATGTCTCATTTTTTCATTAAAAAAGAAAAATTAGGAGAGTGCACTACACCTTCTAAATTTTCTAGCTTTTTGAGAGTGAGGGGCGCGTGTAATACTGCCCTGGCACACCTAGCTAGGTGTGCCAGGGCACACGGTAGTGGTACTGCCTATTTGCAACACATTATTAGCACAATACTCGACATGATGTGTTGCGAACAAGATACATCATTCAATTAGGTTCATTTATAATCTAATAAATGTGTTCTTGGGCAAAAAGTTCCAAAATACAAACTACGGGTCGAAGTTTAGAAAATATATGATAATAGTGGTTTTTATATTTAAATTGTGATGATGAGTTTGTGGAGAAAATATGAAATATAATGAACATTGCATTTTTCTTAATATTTTGTATCCAATTATAATTGCAATTAAAAATTTATTCGAGATAAATAATTATATATATTCAAGTGAGAATGGTGCTCAATGAAAAAAATAAGAATACATCTTGATCATTAGATCGGATGATCTAATGGCTAAAAAAATGTCAAAATTATACCTTTATTACGGGTAATGGTGTATTTTTTCACACCAAAGCAGTGGGACCCATGCCACCACACGACCACTAACACATGGCTCTCTCTCTCTCACATACACACACACACACGAACACATGCCACATCACCACCAATGCACACAAACATACGCGCACACACACACATGCACCCACACACATGACCCACGGACATCATACAGAACCACTAAGTTCCCGTCTGAATCCTTGGCCACTTGAGGCCATCGGTCTCGGCCCAGTGCCAATTTTGCACGTTGGCGCCATCGGGGCGGTCTTCCACGATCCACCTCTTGTCGCCTTCCCCAATTTCGCCATTGCTGATGTGAGATTACGACGTTGTCATCTAGTAACCGGTCCACGGCGCGTGCGATGGTGGAGGCAGAGAGGAATTATATGAGGATGGAGAAGTTTTGGATTTTGGTATAACTACAAATAAAAATAAGGTTAGTATATGTGCAAATAAAAGTTATCTTGGTGGTGGATGGGGTCATTTTCTCTCATGGTCAATGCATACCATATGATCTCTTGGGTTTAATGTATAGTTCAATTCACTAGAAATATATGAAACTCAACGGAAAGTTCTCACAGAAATATATTAGATGTTCCATTTCATTTCACTACAAATGATCGAATTTCATCTAAAATTTCAATGAAAAACTCATTCCAACGGAACATTTTCGTTGAAATCATTCCAACGGAAGCTATATCATTGAAATATCCGTTGGAAATTTCAGTGTAATATATTACCATATGATTTTCTGTTAGAATATTACAATTTTTTGTAGTTCTTACTTCTTAATACATATTTGCACTTGTATAATTAGTAATTTAAGAAATTCATACTTAAAAAAACAAAATGATAAATAATAGAACTTTTTGTTTTTATTTTTCAAGTATTTCTTAAAATACTTATGTTTAAAAAAATTTGCATCTGTCATATATAAGACATATTCATATATTTTTTAATATATGCAATATGAATATCAAATAGATAATCATCAAAACTCAAATGATCAAAAGATGATTACTTAGATATACCATATATAAAAAAATTGATGAGAAGTGTCTTGTCTTAGGCACATATAACCCATTAGACAACATATTCTTTTCACAAATATTCACATATTCATTAAAAAACGTTATAATTTAATAAAAAATATAAATAAAAATATGACATTTAATAGCATAAATATTCATTTTTATTTAAAGTGTATGAAAGGTCAATCTGCCTAACTTGCCACACACAAAAAATCATATCATACATTTCTAATAATCCTAAACTAGTACGTAGCCCGTGCGATGCACGGGACATAAATATTAAATGAGTCATTTCCACAGAGTTTGTCTGTTAAGTAGCTCGTGTGATTCACGGAAGATATTAAATGAGTGGATAATAGGGCTTGTCAGTTAAGGCCTAAAAAAGTAATAGAGTTTGATCATCTATTTTTTTACCTTTTTCATCAACGTCATCTTTTTTGTCGAGACATTAAACCTGAGCCTGGTAGTGGTAGCGCTAGACCGTAAATTAATTAATATATTATCTCGCTCACATGTTTATAATAATATAAATTTAATTTCATTATATATATTTATTCCTTGATATAAGAAAAATAACAATTTTACGTAATCTTGTTCCTCGTATAATACTCATATTATTTTATTATAAAATTTATTGTAATAGCATGATGAACCAATATATTATTATAAATAATATTTTAACATATATATTTATTTTTTAATAAAAAATAATAATAATTTTACATATTTTGGTTCATCATAAGCATGATGAACCAATATATTATTATAAATAATATTTTAACATATATATTTATTTTCTAATAAAAAATAATAATAATTTTACATATTTTGGTTCATCATAATACTCAATTATTAATCTATTAAAAAATCTATTATCATATAATGTCATTATTATTTATAACACTTGCAGAAGTAATATATTTGTTATATAATGATAAATATGTAATGTATATTAATATTATTTAGTGATGTAATTAATTTAAAAAGATATAAGCAAATTTAATATTAGGTAGGAACGTGATTATATGTAAGTTGAGATAAAATGAAATGTATCAAAAAAATCTTCTTATAATATTTTCCTTTAAATGTTTGAATGAATTTGAAATTTAAATTACAAATCAACCTTCAGTTATTCAAATAATTTTAAAAAAGTTACCAATTGTAGTAAAATGTACGTGACAATATATTATAAATATACATGACGTCAGTAATGTTATGAATCTTTAAGTTTCTAAAATATATATTGTTTAGATATAAAACTAATTAACTTATATGTTAAGATAATATACACAAATATATGTATTGTACGAAATATACACGTGACAGGTTCTTATATTTGTTTATATATTGTTTGTATATTTGTTTGTATTGTTTATTATATTTGTTTATTATATTTGTATATAAATATATTGTTTATATATTTGTCTGTATTGTACGATAAATTATTATATTTGTTTATATATTGTTTAAATATATATTGTTTAGATATGAAACTAATTAACCTATATGTTAAGATAATATATATAAATATATGTATTGTATGACATCTTTAACGTGTTTGTTAAATTTTTTCCCTAAAAAATTCAAAATATATTTAGGCATGTTTTGTTTGAAGTTTGAAATTCAAATATGCATCTATATAACAAATCCCATGATTTATGCTAGCATTAAATGCTACTTGATTTTTTTTTAAAAAAATTAAAAAAAAAAAACATACCAAAAATGGAATGCAATTAATATTT